TAGAACTTTACAGCAGCTTTAGTAATGAAGACATCTTTTGGGGAAATTAGGAAGAGAGTTTGGGGTGATATTTTTGGACTCTCAATTCATCCTAATTCAACAAAACATTTGAATATTGTTTTCCATGAAATTGTTGAGCTATCTTCATTATTTCACATCATTATTTCCATAGATTTTACCAGAATATTCAAATTCTCTCACAGATTGGAAGCAGACAATGGGAAGACAATACGACTAAACAGTGTACACCACTTCCAAACACTTCCGCAATTCCTCTGCAGAATTTACAACACTTCTTATCACAATCTAATCTAAGTTTTTTTGTCTCAAGAAGTTTAAACCTCTTAAAATGATTTTCTAGTTTAGTCTTCAGAAAATGCTTTTAAAAAAATCTGAATAAATTGTGAGGTTATGAATTTTGCCTAAAAATATGATTTAAGCTTACAAATGAGTAAATGTGGCAAATATCACATTGTTTTCATTCAAAAATAAGGTTCAATTTGCAATTTTAGAGCACAAACCGCAAAAATAACTAAAGAATTAGAATTCTCTTACACAATTTTGAGGTTATGGTTGCCTTTTGGGCTGTTTTCTAACTAATCTGAAGTTTTTTTGATCGCAAATTCTCAATTCTACCAAGAAAAGGGTAAAAATTGCCAGCCTCAACCCAAATTAGATGATTTTCAGGGTTATTTTATTACCAGATTCTGTTTTAAATCAATCACATAACCTAAAAATGCGCTTAAATTGATTTTTCTAGGCAAAATAATTTAGAAAATGCCTCAATTTGTTGCAATGGAAGCTTTTGCAATGCTTATATTTTATATATTTTGCCACTTTCATTTCCCAAACACTTTCTTTCAAGCTGTACACCACTTCCGACCATAATATCTACCTCTTGGAACCAGAAAAGGAAGAGAACTGGAGAAAATGTGCAGTTTTAGCATCACCTCACGATGGAATTCTTCTTTTTAAATATAAAATGCAAATTATCTCGCGAGACATTCCGTATCACGGACAAATATTTGCCAATGTTTCCAGAGCATGTAATCGGTGGATTTGCGCATTTTGCTTGATTTATCAATGAACAAAGGTGTGCGCCTTACGTTTTTAGAGAAGGTCTTCGGTAAAATATTTATTCTGCTGCTTTCTGCTTCTTTTTAAAAATAGATTCACTTGCATGACGCTGTGTTGTGTTTGTGTGTGAGGAGCAAACTTTAGGATGTTCAGGGAAATTCTGTGTGATTTCTGCGGAACGACTGAGAATTAGGGTTTCATTTGGCATTTAATTAGATTTATATCATGTTCATGAGAATGTAGGAGCACTTTCGCCCACATTTGCAGAGTGTCAGGTTATTGGAAGTTGCTCTGGTCTCGCACAGAAATATGATTATTGAGAGCATAGTGTGTTTCAGTGCGACAAGTATTGTGGTAAGATGCTTATAATATCCCTCTTTGTCTCCTGCCAACTATACGATGACAAGGGAATATTAAATTGTCATCTGGGAGAAGTTTTCATTAAGTAGAGAGTGAGAGGAAGTGGAGTGAAAATTCTCCATCATTAGGAAACATTAACACATTGTTATACAATATAGTTATTTTGCTCATGGAGAGAAAACTATTTCCAATATCCGCATGAACACTTCTTCAATGATTCCAACAGTAAAATTGTAGCATTTTTCCCCTTAAAGATTTTTCTCACCCTTCAAAAGAAATGTCGTTTTGTGCGTTTCAAATGACTCAATCATATGTAATTAAATTTGAGAGTGTCTTTTTTCTCTCTCAATAAGCATCAAATTGACTGCCATAAATCGTTGAATTTTAATTAGAATCCGTAATTAGAACTTCAGCCCTGGGAAGACTCCAGTTACAATTGATGAAAGCGATTTCCTTCAATTGCCCCTTGACACATTAGCACTCTTCTGGGCGCGCATGTGAATGGATTCTGGGAATAGATTGAGGGATGGCCTGAAGAGAAACTGTTGATTCCGCAAGCACTTGGGCGAAGGTGACGCAGAATATGAGGCAATGACCAGTGTGTCTTTCGAGGGTGCTCGAGAAAGATTGAATCCCACAGAGAATGCCGTCCGCAGATTCAAAGCGGGGGCGAAGGAGGAGTTGGGATATTTCAATAAAGACGGCAAATTCACTCTCCGCAATGTTCGCAATTTCTCCGAATGGACTTCTGAATGCTCGCTCGAATGTATTTTATTGGCATACTTTAATTATTATTATATATGTTCCATTTCATATTCATTCGTCTGGAGTTCACGGAAAAATGTCTTTTGTGAATGGTCAAGACAAGAGGAAAATCACTCGTGATTTCAGACCACTTTGTGATTTTTATTTAAATTTTCATTATTTTCTCCACATATTGCCACTAGAGGGCAGCAGTTTAAAGGCATGCAGAAATTCCAATTGTATTTCCCAAACCAATTATTACCACAATTTTAACAATGGATTAATTTGGGGGTTTTTAACGCCCAAAAATAATCTATTAAACATATCAATTCAACATATAAAATAATTTTTTGATTATATTTAGGTGTTGCATATATTAAAGAGTAATAAAACGTCAGAAAAACAGAGATAAGTCACAAAATTTGCCACAAACTGGAATTCAACACTTAAAAGGATGATTAAGATCAGTTGACGAAATACAATCGAAAATTCTGCATGCCTTTAAAGTTGAAATATAGTTGGCAAAACACCAAGCCCTGACCAATTGGTATTCCTGGAGAACTTGTGGCGGGAATGCCACTGTCATGGCGGTCTTCTCCTCCTGACGAGATCCTCGCTGTTAGCATTATTTGACGGTAGAGGCAGCACTGAGGGTGACGCGGAGAAACGCGCGAGCCAGTCAGTCGTATCGTGATTCAAGTATTTAAATATATTTAAATTGTCTGTGTTTTGCAGGAATTTTAATAAGAAAATATTGATTTTTTTTTGTATATTTCTACTCAAATTCCGATTTTTTTTCCATACAATGTAAAAAATCATTATTTAAATATTTGATTGAGTTCATTAAGATTCCTCAAAAAGCGACTAGCGACTTTCCCCTTGGGTCAAGACGAGAGACATCTGAAGAATTTCCTCGTCACAAAAATCGTGCTATTCGTAATCGGATTTAGATAGCAGGGAGTGAAGGTTTTTCCCCTCACCAGAAAAACCTTCAAATAGCCGATCAAATTCCTGTCCATTTCGAGAAGCATTTGCGGAAAATCAAATGAACATAAAAATCAGAGCAGAGAGAAAGAGAGCTTTAGACCTAAGACGTATGGGTGTACACATAATGCTTATATATGGGGGGAAAATGAGGGAAAATGTACTGGGAAAGTAATTCAGCTGAGGATTCGGCGGAAGTAAAAATTATGTGAGGTATTTTCCAGAAATAACTAAGAAAGGAATGATTTAGAGAGTGAATAACTTTGAGCAAAAGAATTTCCCGGGGAAGTCTTCTGTTGTACGACGTAATAAAGAACCTCCCGCACATTGTCCTTTATTATCCGCGTTTCAAAATGTACCGGAATTATAAGAAAACTCTCAATGCAAACGCCTTGATAGAAAGTGAAAATATTAGAGAAAATATGCCCTGTTTTTCTTCCAGAGCAAGGAAAATAATAATAAATTCCTCGAAGTGTGATTATTTTAAAGAAAATGTGAACTTCCTTGCAGAAAAGGGCTTATGAAAACACTTGCTCTGGGTGTGCGGGAAAATCAATGGAATTTCACAGAAAGGACGAAAAGGAGTATCAAATATTGATGTTTCTGTCTACCAAAGAACTTTCCGTCAAGAGGCATTGTACAAAACAATAACGACAAGTGCCACGTGCGAAATTTGAAATATTTCTCTTCAATTCTTCAGAAGAATCCGTATTTATTATGGACGATTTCTTTGAAAACTTGTCTTTGGAAATGAATAAATATTGCGGATTTTCTTGAGAAGCTTTTGAAAAACTCACCTGCTAAAGTTCCCCGTTTTCTGCAGAAATGAAATCAATATCATATTATAGTTAAAATCATGTTTCTCGAAGTGAAACAAGTTATCAAATTACAGTTGACTTAAGAGACTTAAGACTTTCCTGCATATAATTTCTCTAGTCTTGAAGAAATTTCACATTATTTGGCGTGTTCATGAAATGTTACGATGAATACACAAAATATCTTATATCAAATTGAATTTGAATTAAGCATCGAATTTCCACTCAAGGAACAGAGAAAAGCGAAGGACAACGCAATTTGATATTCTGCTAAATTAAAAGTTCACTCAATCTACAATTTCTGTAAGACAAATTACATGATTTGCATTTCCAGAAACTTTAAATGTAAAACACAAGTTGAAAACAATTCCGCGAATGCAGAAAAGACAACAAAAGCGAAGGGGGAAAAAAGGGTTGAACTTTCCTCAAACCTTGGCGCATATTTTTTACACCCAAAATGCTAAAAACACTCCTGCAAATATTCCAGACATGCCACAAACATCATCCCAGTAAAAACCAATCCGCCGTTTTTCCACCGCTTTTCCATCATGTTGCTCCAGAGCCCAAATTATGCTTTGCTGGATTCGTGCAAGAAATCCACCGTCAAATCCACCATCTGACAATTACTGCGGGATTCCTCTAAGAATCGGTGGACGAATCTTGCAAGATTCCTTCAAGAAACCCAAATTCAAATTCCTTCACTTCAAAGGCCGTACAAATGCCGGAAGCGTCTTGTAAGATTCCACCACAAATCCGCCATTTACGGTCCTTTTCGTCCTTGCAGGAATTTCGGTGGAAGTTCTGGCAAGATTCCTGCAGGAAAATCCACCAAAAATCCACCGTTTAAGGTCCTTTTGGCCATTGCTGGAATTTCAACGCGATTTTCCTCTATAATTCCGCCATTCGTCCAGTGGATTTTCGGAAGATCCGACAGGAATCCTGCACGATTCCTATAGGACTGTTTTCACTGGGATCTCAGACTGGAGGAAGTCCAAGGAGACAAGATGATCAAATTCAGAGACATTTCGTAACAGTATAATTCTCCATCACTACTGCAAATTACAATATAATATTACTTTTTAATCATATCTCGCAAATATTTCATCTATTCAGGAAACTCTTCCACTGGGGCTTTTGTAATAAATATAAAAAACAGGAATTGCAACGTAAAAAAGTCATCTTGACGGGGTGTTTTTTGCTTCTTTCTTTCTTTTTAATATTGTAGGAGATGAAACTTACTGTATATAAATCTTCGCTGTTATCTTATTTCTTTCCTCCCTTTCTTTATATATATTATTGAATTATTAAAATATAGATTTTTAAATAATAATAAAGAGAACTCTCAGCCGCCATAACTCGAGTGTTAAGGTCGCGACAATCTTTTAGCACTGTCCTCCCTCTCCAGGGACACGCTCTCCACGGATTCACTGCCCGACGGGCCCTTTTTCGATCGCCTCTTGTCGTCACTGCCCAGGATTTGCGCCACTTTCACCTGCTTCACGAGATCCAGCGCCTGGAATTTGAGCACAAAACGTGAATTGAATGCCATTAAATTTGAGAAATGTCGTCGTTTCTCACCTCCTTCTTGCTCCGCAGAGCGCAATCCTCGAGCGTCTCCGCCGCCTCGTACTTCCCTTGGCGACGATACAGCGCCCCGAGATTCTTCAGTGTCGTCGTCACAGTCGGTGAATCCACTTTGGCCGCTTTGTGCCACCCCCCGTACTCGCCGTACGGCGTATTTTCGCGGTTTTTCAGTTTGTTCTCCTCGCGCTCCTCAGCCACCTGGAAAGCAGCGCAGTTTTCACCCATTATTTCCAAGCACTTCCCACAGCAATCGAAAACCTCCTCAACTCACCTGCCAAATTGGCTTGTTATCACCATCAATGGTCCCAAACTCCCTCTCGTGAGCCCTCGTGAGGACCTGCTTGTAGAGCACTTCGGCCTCCTTGTACTTGCCCTGCTTCAGGAAGCAGCTGGCCAAGTTGTTCTTCGTCTTGGCCACATTTGGATCATCGGGACCGAGTTTGCTCTCATAAATCTCCAGCGCGCGCTGATAGTAGAGCTCCACCTCCTCATACTTGCTCTGATTCTGACACAGCAGCGCCAAATTGTTCAGCTGCTTCGCCACATCCGGATGATCCGTGCCCAGGACCTTCTCGCGAATTTCCAGCGCCCTTTTGCAAAGCGGCTCAGCATCCTTGTACTTGCCACGCTTGCCATAAAGAACTGCCAAATTGTTGAGTGTGGCCGCAACGGCCGGATGATTCTCCCCCAGAGTCTTCTCGCGAATAGTCAAGGCATCATTCAGGAGATTGGCGGCCTCCTTGTACTTGTTCTGATCACGATACACCAGCGCCAGGATGTTCAGCATCGTGGCCACGTCCGGATGATCGTGACCACTTGTCTTCTCCAAATCCTCAAGCGCTTGCTTGCACAGCGGCACCGCCACCTCGTAGCGCCCCTGCGAAGCATACTGAATCACGAGATTGTGGAGTGTTCGCAGACGAGCGGGAATTTCATAGCCGGCATTCGCCTGATTGGCAAATTGACTGGGAGGCGTCGGTGACATGTTGTGGCGCTCCTCAGGCTCATCCTCAGGAAACAGTTCAACGACTGGATCAGCCCTCGGCTTGTCGCCGCCCTCCTCTTGTTCCTGCAAGAAAGAACCACAGCATAAAATTCGCTGTCTTTTCCCGATCAGCTGTTGCAAATAAATGGAAAGAGATCCAAAATCTCCCCCAACGCATTGTCAAAGGCTTCTCAACAAAGAGGAGTCAATAGAAAGCAAACATCGCACCTGATTCTCGTCGTATTTGCGAATGGAATTGATAAACTCCAAATGCTTCTTCTCCTCCTCCAGCTGAGCCACCGTTTGCTCCGACGCCTGCAGCTTCTGCTGTGTGTTGGCCAACTCATCCCTCAGCCAGGCATTCTCCTGACACAGACGTCGCACTTGAGTGCGCAACTTCTGCTTCTCCGCCTCGACATTCTGCAGATGCGACACCAGAGCCAGCATCACCTGCGCCTCGCCCAGACCCAGCTCAATGCTGTCAATGTTCTTCTGGACAATGTCCGACTTCTCTGTGTCGTGGCGCGCCTCCAGCAGACCCGCCATCAGGGACACGTGCTCCACACGAAGCGCCTCGAGTCCCTGCAGCACCGTCTTCGTATTGGCCACGATCTCCTCCTGTGTCATCTGCGTCATTTTGCCAATACTCTCAATTTTACGACTGCAAGAGAGAAAGAAGAGCGAGAAAATTCCTCTTAGTCAATTCTAATAAACATTTTATTATTCTCTCCCCTGATTAATTAATAAAAAAGCGCAGGGAGTGTGTGTTGTGCTCCTCATTAAGACACCCAATGTGACCACTTTTCAACGAGGAAGTGGACTTCTATATGTTTCTCTCTCTCTCTCTCTCTTCTCTGCAGCACTCGCCGTGACGTCGATGCGTCTACAGAAGATGTCACGCGAAGACGATATTAAAAAGCTCAAATACTCGCGGCGCATGCACTTAACATAATTATGTGGTGTGTTGCTTCTCAAGAGAAGTGCTCTTCTTCTCTCCATCCTCCGATTCCCATCCGATACAGTGGAATATTAAAACGCATGCCGGCGCCAATCAACTCATCAGTCATGGCTAAAAATACATCAACTTTGTCAGATTAATCATCATGTTAACGAATTTACAGCTCAAATATTCATTCCTCGAGCTCACAATCTACTCAGGTACATTTTTCTTCTTCTCTTAGATAAAAGTGGGCAATTTTGAAGTCACTTTGAAAGACACAACATTGACTCTGCCCTTGTTTTTGTCTACCATTTTTGAAGAATAATGCGAAAATAATGATAATCATGCTGGATTGCAAGACAAATTAAGCAAGTGATTCATCAATTTTTGCCCAGTTGAGCTTGATGTTCTCAAAAATGTAACTAAAATGCAAAATTAGACCATTTTTAGGGCATATTTCGATGGGAAAATCGAAATTGATATTAAAGAGCTTATTTATTTGTTCTTCTTGTACAAAAATATTGAAATTTGCATTTTATGAGACAATAATAAAAATTATTATTTATTTTAAAAGCACAAATGAAAAAAAGTCATGTTTTACGAATGAAAAGTCGAATATTTATTGTTTAATTTTAAATTAAAAACTTTAAATGAATATTTCTCATATCTTTTAATTCTTTCTTTTGAAAACTTTGATGAAAAATTGATTTTTAAAACATGTTTGGATAAAATCGGCTCGAAGAGTATTAAAAATCGACTTTGGAAAGTAATATTTTGAGATTTTCTATCAATTTTGCCATATTTCAGTCACAAATCCCAATAAATACCAATAAAATCAATTAAAATATCTACAAAATAATAAATACAGAGCAATATTTGCACTTTAACAGATGATTTGAAGGCATTTTGAGGGTTTTGACGATAATTTCGCTTATTTCGCAGCTTTGTTAACGCTAAATTGCGATTTTGGCTTTATAGTTTTCAATTCACTCGTCGAATTGTGTTTATATCACTCCAAAAAGAGCGATTTTTCGTCTGTTTGCGGTGAAACATCAGCAATAACACCTGCTAGGAAATCCTTGAAGACCACAAATTAGATTTTCGTTTCTTCTTTCCAACTATTAGAGCTTACAAATAAACAGGGAACGAGTGTACACGTAACATATGTACGATCTCAACAGAATCTCGCTGATGTCTCAGCGATAAAAACTATCCTATTGCCACATTAAACCATTTCACAGTGTTGATTTCCCAGAGCAAAAACCGAGAGAGAGAGAGAAGAGAGAATTTGTTTGGTAATTGAGCTTCTCTCTCAAAATATTTATCCGCACTCAAAATCAAAAACCTCTAATAAAGTGGCAGAAAATGCCAAAATCCCAGAGTTTTCAAAAAGACATTGTGTGTCACTTCCGGAGCAATTCTAAAAGCCACTGATTTCCTTCCCAATCTGCGTTTGTTGAGAGAGAGAATTGTATGGCGATATATTCACACTTGAATTGAACCGTATGGGATTTTTTCACAGTCCAATTAATTTGCGTTTCACCGCAAGTTTGGCAGATTTTTCTCCACCACAAAAAACTCACATTCGATATTGATTTATTGCCGATGACAGAAACATCTTCTCGGCTGGACAATTATTGTCTCCCTTGCAATTCAGCAAAAGATTCCTCCGCCACGCGGTGAGACGCGCACTTTTCACCACTCTCTGGAGCTCCAGAGAAGCACTGAAGGATGGATCGACGCGAACGGACTTGACAAATTGGAGTCAGATGACTCACCCAAAATGTCTTAGGAGACTCTGACACACTGAGACGCGAAACTATCTTGCGACTGGAAGTCAATCGATATGTTTATGTATAGTGGCTATTTTTGCATGCTGTGCGGTGTGGATTCTCATCTCCACGCTTGCGCCTCTTATCGCCACTTGAGAGATGGTGGGCAAGGTGAGGAAAACATCGGTTTTTCTTGCCACGGAAAGTCGGTCTTGTTCAGCACTGAATAATCTCGCGAGACTCGCGAATCTCTCACTTCTAGATCGCAGATTTGTGGTCTGATTGATGAATGAGAGAACTTCCAAATCGCCCTCAATTTCAGAGAAGGCTCAGCGGGAAATCATCCTCCACAGAGAAAACACCCCCACAATCTTAGTATGCTAATCCCAATGCTAATCACGCTCGCGGCCTTGCGATCCGCACTCAGCAAATAAACACCAGTGACAAGCGTGACAATCAGAAGCGCGTCACAATCGCGGCCCCAGCGGACAAATATCCATCGCGACGACGTCTGTCCGCGGATCGGAAGCACACCGCCATGAATTCCATGCTCTTTTTCCCTCTTCCCGCACTCACGCCACGGCACATTTTTCCTCCATCGCGGTGCAGCGAAGGTGAAACAGCGAGACAGAATCTCAAATAGAAAGTTGCGGACAGTCATTTGGGGCCCCACGGCCAGAGTTGAATGACATTCCCTGCACACGGACACAGGAAATCTCCCTTTCTCACCTCTTATCACTCATCAGAATCCGATTATTGGGTGTCACTGGGTGTTGGGAGGGTGAGCAGCAGACTTTACATTGATATTCACCACAGAATTAACAATTTTCTTAGCGAAATAGACTGAAAACTGCAAATTTCCTACACTAACAATCCAATAGGTTCACTTATTTGACCAGTGGGAGCGCTGTGAGCGCACGTCAAAGTCTCCGGAAATGTTTTCGGAAGAGCAGAGAAATTCACCACTCGGAACTGTTCTCAAATATTCAAAGCTCTTTTACTGAGAATTTTGCTGAATTTTGTAATTTCTTCAATGCTTTTAATATTAAAAAATGTAATTTCTTATTAGTAAAAAACCCTCGAGGCGTGAGAATAATATTAATTTATCTACTTTCGAATATTCTCATTACATTCCAAATTGTGACAGTTGAAATTTTCGTCTGAAAAACTGTCAAAATAATTAATCTTACATTTATTCTGCAATCAAGTCAATTTTTTAATATTATTTTTTAGTGTTTCAATGCTAAAGAGTTTGTGAGACACTTTTACACCTCTGTGGACATCATAAAGTAGTTCCTTTTCCTCGATAGAACAATAAAAGCTTTTCCGCCTCTTACTGAAATTTGTCCATGAATTTCTAAGAATATTTTACAGTGCAATTTACATTTATTCTACACTCCGCAAATTCCATTCAATCCGAGATTCGAAACTTTATCTCATCCCTTTTTCCATTCACAAAAACATTCACGCGTTATCGCAGTGAAGCATCACTGAAAACGCACTTGAGTGATTCAGAAGCTTCAGAAGCTTCATTGCCAATGGCAAATTTGTGAGGAAAACAGGCGGAAATTCAAAAAATGAGATATCAAAAGCTTTGAGACTAATTAATTATAAGAAAAAGTGTGAGCAGAAAAAGGTCAAAATAGTGTTAAAGTTGCAAAGATTGCCTTACAATAATAATAATTATTACAATAATACAGAAGGCGAGAACTTCATGCTTGAAGATCTTTGTTAACACCTGCAATTTACGCATGAAATGTGTGATTTATCGGACCTTTTTGCCATACAAACTATATACAACAAAATGGGAATTAATGAAAGAGTCCAAATAAATTGTTTTTATATTGCGATTCTGGGGTGTGATTTTGAACAAATAATTCTCTCTGCATTTGACACACTCAAGGATTGAAGGCGATACTATTTAATTTTCTGATAAGCATCGCGTCAATTGTGGAAGCCAAGAAGTTTGTGCGAAGAAGCCATGAACTGCATAGCATGAAAGGCGGCTGGACAAGCATGATTTATCTAAGCCATAATATTGGTTGTGCATTGAAATGCGCCGCGATTGGCGATTTAATTTTAATGCGCATACGAAACTGGGAGGATTTTTGCCATGGCGGAAGAACACATCAACTTGTGCGAAGTTGTCATGGAAGAACGAGAGCAAATGTGACATGTGTTGTAGAGAATTGTATCACTGCGTGTAATTATTGGGTGTAATTTAGAACTTTACTATGAGTGTCAAGGTCGCTTGTCTCGTGGAGAGTGAAATCTATTTCACCTGAAGATGACTCACGCCAAGACTCTGGCTTTCCACATAACATCGCTGAGAGACACTTTAAATAATCCATTTGTATGCAGTGACGCGGCAAGAATGCGCTCTTTCGGCAGACTTGCTGAGATGTTAAGGGGGTTTATCTAGGAGTGAATCGCCCAGGTAGAGACCATAAATGCCCAGCTGAGATGAATTTATCCGCCGAAAGACTTTGGTAATGACCCCAAATCTGCGATTGCATCACTACGTGAGGCGTTTTTGGCTAAAATACCCATTAACATGGTTTTATTGTGATCACTTCATGACGATGTCTTAAGTTCGCGCTGAATTCATTTCGACAATTAGAATATGGGAGCCATAACGTGACCTCCGCGCACTGAGACAGATTTCTTCAAGATTTCAGCGTATTTCTTGTAATTGCACGATGGCTGGAACTGATTAGGGAACTCTTGTAATCACAATGAAAGTTTTTGAATAAACTTTGACTGCCTCAATCGCTTGCACTCAAGATCAAGGGGGAGAAAACACGCTTAGAAGTGATGTACAGATCAGGAGATGTTTTAGGAAGTGAAAGTGCTTCAATTTATGCAATATTTGGTTCACAGCTTTGATTATTTTCTCTTAGAAATTAATTTTCTCTCCCAGTCTTTATTTAGTCAATTATTTCTAGGTTATGTGACTGATTTAAGACTCAATGACGTCTTAAAGCAGTAATAAAAGTGCCTAAATTTAAAGTTTTTTTGCTTTATTAGTAAAATTGTTAAAATCAAACATAACCTCACAATTTTTCTAAATTTACTGTTGCAATTGTTGATTTAGAGGAAGAAAATCATAAAATATTGTATGAAAACGTGAGTTTTATAGTTGTCAGTTAGATTTTAGTTAGATTTTGGTTAGATTTTAGTTAGATTTCAGTTAGATTTTGGTTAGATTCCAGTTAGAAGTTGATTTTAGTCTTGTTTTAAGCAATAAAGGCAGTCTGAAGTCCTGGAAAGTATTAAGAACTTTTTCATGCAAATTGTGGAAGCGTCAGGAAGTGGTGTACAGATTCCAGCCGTACTATCTTCCCCTTGATCTAGATATTTTTTTGCTGAGCTGAGAAATTTTCATAATGATTAATTTTGCAAAATATCGCAACGCAGTGACACGAGCAGAATATTTTTCCTACGCCTCTTAATTACATGGCGTTCAACTCGAGAATTTACATGGCAAGAAACGCAGAAACAATGGCAAATACATTTTCCTTTGATCACTTGCATCATTGTTATTTGCATGTCTGGAGATTTGGATGCCAGAATGTGTGCGCGCGCGCAAGTCAGAAAGTTTCTAATTGAATCCCAATTGAAATTGCGAATTTGCAGGTCTCTGGCAAAGAGAGTTGGGCGACAGAGAAGTTCTTGTGAAAAGCAAAAGGCGACGAGATTGCAATTAAAAAGCGAAAATTGTGCTGTTGAAATTGACAATGAAACACCTACAATTCAGTCAACGACACCAATTTCATTTTTTTTCACATAAGGTTTTACTCTGAGATATGTCAAGTGTGATTTTATCTCAGTGGCAAAGTGAAGAATTCTCATTGTGTGCGAAAATCTTAGATATTATAACCGTTGAAATATTCTTAAGGAATGTTTAGAGATGCTGCCAAGTTCAGTGATTTCATTCGGTGTGACAACAAATCAATTTCTTTTCTTGTAAATGTAAAATGTGCTAAAATGTGAGAGACACGCGATGACACAGTCGAAAATTGAAAATTGATGGAGAACAAGACCTTCTATTCTTCCAGGAAAAACACACGATTTTTTATTTATTATCCCAGGTTGTCTCCAAAGATGCTATGAAGTATGAAATATGTATTTAAATAATTTACCCAAAATTCACTTCTCACTCCAATACCAACAAGTGCTTTGATCTGTATTTTATTATATCCAATTTCATGGTAAATATCCACTTTTACTCCTTTTACTGAACGCTGGAAAATGCAATGAAAATGAAACTCTGGAATTGCAATTTATTAATGGGCGTGGCAAATCATTCCAACACTCAATTAAAATGATAACAATCTGTAGAATCTTACTGAATCTATGTAGCTTAAGATTTATTATCATAAATCCACGTGGGAATAATTGACTTTGCGAAAATGGGGCAAAAGTATTGAATTTCCTTTCTAAAAAAAAAGACATTTTGCAGGCAATTTTTATACAACAACCAAGAAAATCAGAGCTTTCTTTATATTTAATTTCTTATCAATTTGTCTCAGAAGTTAATGAAATAATCTTCTCAAGGTTGAATGCATGGACAATTTGGCAAAACATCACCTTCGTGGAACCCTTTTGAAGCGAACCTTCATGGATAAATAGAGTTGTCTTGGCAAAGAAACATCTCAATCGCCCCATTCTTTCATGCTGCTCTGTGTTCTCTCCATGATCAGTGGACATGAATGGGAATTGTGAGCCTCCCATGGATCATATATTGACAAGTTTCCCATTGTTATCAGTCCGCGTTTTACCACTTTGCACAGAGAGAAAAAACTCTGCACATGAATTACATTAAATTCGTTACTTATTTCCATGTTATGTCAACATTACATAAGCTGTCGGTGTTTATATACACCAGTGCGTGCGAAGATATATATGCGAAGAGATCGATTTTGGTGTTTGAACAAGGCATTTGTCAATAGATGGTTAGATGAGCAATGATTTTGGGATCACACACCCTTCCAGCCCACCTTGAAGTGCGTTGAAAACTAAAATCAGGAGCGCGCGAGAAATGTGTGAATTTCTTTCGCTCCAACTCTCGCGACTGGTGAATTCTGCAACGTCTCTTTGACTTCGATTATCGGTGGGTGACAAAGACACCTGTTGGACGACTGAGAGCACGGCTGAGTTGTTGCAAAATTTGGCAGAGTGCTTCAGAGTGTATGGAAATGGCCAAAAATCATCGAAATAAGTGCGACCATTGAGCGCTGGACTTTTCCCGCTGCGCGCCAAGGAGTGTTTGTGAGAAGATGCCGTCACCAGAAAACCGCGAAAAGCGCTGTGTGGGGCAAAAAATCACTCGTACAATCATTGAATTGTACAAGAGTAACTTCCACCACCTCTGGCTTCCCATACAAAAGAGCAGCGCTGGGCAGATATCGTGCGACTTATGGGCTTTTCAGTGGAAATTAGCAAACAAGCACCAGTATCGCGCGCCCGCCTATATAAATTCGCCAGTCGCCCCGAGAATTTGTCGTATTCGTTCCGTGGCTCTCAAGCAAGCAACTCCAAGTGCAAAATCTCTCGTGTGGACTTTGGGAAAAAGAAAAATTATTCTTCTTATTAAAATTAGTGACATTGTAACACACTTTTGCCATTCCATCGCGAGTGCCTTTTGTTTCACTCTCAGTGATTTATTCGTCATTTCCGCCCGAGAAAGACCTCAAAGTTGCCCATCCAAGATGTTGAATACTAAAGTTCTCTGTGTGAGTAATAATTGTCGGATGTTTAGTTTTATTCTCTTCAAATATCCCCTTTACCACAATTAACACTCGGATGTTACATTCAGATTATCTGCAATTGTCCACTGAAGAAAAAAGCACAAATGTAAAAAGTGTCGATTTCACCCAAAAAAGCCAAAATTTATCGAGTGAAACACAAAAGAATAATTCAATTGAATCCCTCTGTGATGATCTGTTGTGGGAAAATTATGATTCTGGTCCTTGAAGCATAATCAAATTTAAGCGGCAAGATGAGAAATTAGATACGAACCGAAATGCTTGAAAATCTGATTAAGGAAAAGAGCATTGTGTGTTTACTTTGATCTTGAATTCATAATCAATTTCCAAAGTCAATTTAACAATATCTCAGTGGAAAATCAGCATTCAGCACCTCCCCATTAAATCGACCACAGAAATCACTTCAATTCTCAGATGCGGAGAATTTTCCGCTTGATTAGGGACTCAGAGCCTACAAAGAAAGGGTGAAGGAACGTGGCAAAGATTAGACTGAAACCGTGGGATAAGAAATTGTGGGTGTGGCAAAAAGTTGGTGATTCTGTCTTACTAGCAATTTCAATATCTTCACAATTATCTTGTTAAATCAGTGCTAAATCATTTAATTTTACACCCAAAGCGTTCAGTAAAATATTAACGATCGACATTATTGCAACACTTTTCCGCTGATCCTCCAGAACTGACCTTCCTTTAGCTAACAATCATAATTAAATGTATTAAGAAGCGTTGAGTAAATATTTGCGGTCAGGAAAATGAAGTCATTTACTTTGTAGTTTGAGTAAACAAAGGTCGATGTTTGAAAGTATAATAAGAGTATTGGAAATTCCGTAACCAAATAGAATTTTGCCAATTAATTGCAGCTCCTTGTCGTGTTCATTTTCGCGGTTGCCGCCGAATCGACCCCTGGAGAGACGAAGATCAGCGCCAAGACCGAGGATCTGAAGCCAGCGGAAAGCGGTCAAAGTACGCTTTATCCTTCACGACTGTGCACAATTCCTTATCTCTGTCCTTTCAGTCTTTGACTTAGGAAGCTGGGCAGGAAGGAGATCTTACTACCCCTCTTACGGCGGCTACGGTGGCGGCTATGGAGGATATGGAGGCTATGGCAACTACGGCGGCTATGGTGGCTGGAATAGACCTGGCTACAACACAGGATATGGCGGCTATGGCGGGTATGAAGATAGCTATCCTTTTAACACTCTCCCATTTATTCCATGACTTCTTTCCTCAACAATCTTCTGAAACAGTGGAGAATTTTGGGGGTAAAGTGTGAGAAAATATAAGAAAACAAGGCGAAGAAGATCCTTTTGTCCAGATTTGTGAGATGTAAAGTCTCCAATTACTCCTTTGAGGCCTCGAAATGATTGAATTAAAAGCACTCAGCTCTGATTGAACCCTGAACTCAGATTCCTCTTGCCATTTCTCTCACTGTTTCATTGATTTTGAGACATTTCACACATGTCAGCAAATCAATATCGATGAAAAACACCCTTTGAACTTCACAGGTATGGCGGATACTACCCTCAGTCCGGATACGGCTCGACTTACGGCGGATACTACCCGCAGAGCGGCTACGGAACCAACTACCTGGGCGGATACGGAGGCTACGGAGGATATGGAACCGGATATGGCGGATATGGCGGCGGTTATGGCGGATATGGAGGTAATGGCGGCCTGTCGAGTTATTACGGCTACAATTCTAACGACTATAGTGGGAACAGAAATGTTGGCTATGGCTACCAACAGGGCACAAACAATGCGGGCTTGTACCGAAATCCCTACGCGAATCCCACATCCGTGATTGGCTTAAGAGGTGCCTTCAATTAGGCAAGAAATTCTCACTCAATATTGAGGTATTTCCCCCGGGTTTTCAGTTCCCACCTTTGACAATCCCATATTTGACTTTCTGTTTCTGCGCTGTCGTTTCTCTCTATCTTTTTTGCCCAAAAAGTGATACATTCGGTTTCTGTGCTTATTTATCAAATATTATGACTTTGTAATATATGTAATAAAAGAAGTGGACAGAACACTATGCCCAGATACAAGAGGATCTCCCATGAAAACGAACGCATTTACAAGACACACAAAAAATTGACAAAATGATAACTGGAGGAACACTGAACTTGCAGGTAATATTTTACATGTTTGGGTAACACGACACGAAAAACACACGCAATGCAAATGTTGCTAAAACTGTAGAAAAATGAATAGATCACTTATTAGTTTTCAATGAATTTTCTTCCCATACAGCATCACCTTGACACTACTCTGGCGTATTTTTTCCTCTCAATTCATAGATAACCTCTCACAGAACACAATGGGAAAATATATCTGCAATTTTTCCTCTCTTCAATACCACCACTTAATATCTCGTAGCTCCTAAGCATTATCTGTCTTTTTTCTCCACATCTTCTGGGCTGAACCAGAAGCAGAGTTTGCGGTCTTTGGATGGTAGAAGAAGCACTCATGCATGATATGTTGTTTTTTTTTTGTCTTCTAGGTGGTGGATACTATTACTAAACACGAGAATGATTCCTCTGAGTGAAAATTAACAGCCTGACTTATCACCAATTTTGCAAAAAAAAAAAGTGTTTTGTAAATTTGCGACGCATTCGTATATCCAAGGAAAGTCCCCAGAGAAGAGCAGCAAATTTTCCAACAGCGGAAAATCACCTTTTTGGTCAATCTTCAGCAGTGAATGATGTCATATCCTCAGAAACACCGATTAAAAGTATTCTCAACAGTTTTTCTTGCGACTGTCAGCAAAAAGTAGGAGGTAGATTGAAATAAAATTGAAGAACTAATACCAAAAAATGTCATCTTTTATTCAATTTCGCTTCTTTTTTCTCAAATGGACGAGGAAGGAATTGGATTGGCATTGAATTAAAGTTGTTTTATTGTTGTGGCAATATTACGATTATAAATAAAAAGAAAAATCACCAAGAATTGACTATTTTTACCAGGAAATTCTGAGGTCAAGAAACTTTGCCTACAATTTGAATTCGATCTTCATATACAAAACTTTTCACACTCTTGATAAAATCATTATGATGAGTAATTAAGAAATTAATGAAATGAGTGGAAGTCTTTTGCACTTGAAATCTGCGAAGGCAAAAAAATGTTTGGAGACCTCAAATCTTATCGCGCGATGAAACAAATCACGCTCTGCTGCTTTGGGCAATTCACCAAAGATTGCGGAAGACACGAGACAATACACGAAAAGAATAGAAATTGCTCTTTTACATATTTCCACGAGAGCTTCCTGAAAAACTTCTGCCATCTACTAAGTCATTCATATCACTTTCCGATTTGTCCTTGCTCAAGTGATTTCCAACAGCTTCATCCTTGTAACTCTTGTCACAGTGTCATTTTCTCCTTCGCTGATTAACTGCTCAGCTGCTCGATTTGTACGGTTGATGATGCAAGTTTGTAATTAACACTGAGCTCTTTTGGCCCCATTTGGAACTTTTATCTGTGCAATTGTTTCCACTTTTGTTGTCCAGACATAAACATCCACGTGAAACTACATTATGTTGACAAAAATATTGGGGTCTTTTCGCGGTTTTTCAGCTTGTAAGATGACAGAAAACATGAAATTGCTTCTGAATTTATTGAGGACTTCTCTTATGGGGATGCGATGCAGTAATATTTAAACAAAGTAAGTATTTTGACGAATAAATAAGAAAAATAGTAAATCTGGAGATAAACTCAAGATTACTCACATAATCTTGCAACGTTGTAATTCCTATTAGAGCTCCAATATGCTGAGAAAAATGTATGTTGAAAAGAGCTTTCAGTCTTATTAGAAATTCACCCAATTCACCTCAAAATATCGGAAGCTTTTGTGAACGATATATCGATATATTCTCATATATATTTGAAACCACAGTAACGGTTTTTGAGAACAGATTAAAGATTAAACCGATTAAACAGTGCAAATGATTCATTTTCACAAAATATTTCTTCTTTTCAAGTTCAGTCGACTTGTTAACACCCAAAATACAGAAAGTAACTTACTATAATTCGAAGAAATTGTATTCTTATATCAATGTAATCATTGTGATCAATGTTATTTAATAAAACATACTAGATTTTATGGTCTCTATCAGATATTATCGTATCATATTATGATGTTTTAGCACTCCTGAATGGCGCACAAGGAAATGCGGAACCTGCTGCTCATCCATATTTAATGTTTATGTCGCTGATGATGCTCAAGCATACAACATAAAAGTACATACAGGAAGCACATTAGCGAGCTAATTTGTGCCATTATGCTATATCTCGAGTGAACCTACTTTGAGCAACTGAAAGTGCAATCCGAGGAGTTGAGTAATCAACTATTATGCGAATAAATCTTATCAAACAATCTGGTTTTTTTGTCACCCAATTTGACAAGAAAAAAATGCACACGGACCTCGTAAATTTTGATAACTTAATTACTCAATAATCCGGTTTGATGTCTCCGGAAGACGCAGGAAAGTGATTTGATTTACGAGCGCGCAATAAAATGATATCGCCTAGGATTTATTTTGATCTACTCTTCACAGTGGACACTTGTTTGTACTTTCTACTCTCCCACTTAATATACTCCAAGTGTAAGTAAGTAAGTGAAGTGAGATGTATTAGAGGGCATTTGGCTTATCTTTGCAAAGAAGACTGCATGTTTCCCCATTAATTGCTTCCGTATTTTCATGTGCATACTTAACACTTTTTCTTTCATATCTCTCAAACAGAAGATCAAGTTTCCCAGACATTGTAAGATGATGCTGAAGATCAATATCACGCTGTTCTGCATAACTTGGGGAGTTTCGTGCGATCGCACACAATTTTTTGGCGTGATTGAGATCAAGTTGTGGTTCCACCTGAAATTTCTACCGCCCACCTTTGGTGAACTTGACCCAAAAGCACCAAAATTCCGTGTTTATAAATATATAAAGAAAGGTATTTTTATTATTGTCAATAAAACAGTACATAAAACTCACACACGAGTGTGTCTGTTGGTGAGTGAGAAAATGATCATGCGAGGATCGTTTTGTAAGATGATAAATGAGAGACGAAGAAGATCAAAACCAGGTACTATCGTCAGTGATGCAATGCTAACAAATGAGGATGATACTGGTGATTTTTGGTGGGTGTCAGCTTAGATGAAGGGGTGGAACTTCTTCTTCTTTGGACTGGGATAGTGGTAGCCTCCTCGCGATCCTCGATCGCCGCGATCCAGCCACTCGTCCTCATCATCGTCACGGTAGTGCCTGTGGCTGTGGTGCTTCTTCGGCTCCTTCACGGGCACCAGAATCTTCTTCACCAGCGTCTTCGTGATGAAGTGTGTGTGATGCTTCACGGGGACATGAATGCGGATTCTGCCGAAGAGAAATAGGTGGATTTTTTGAAAGTGGTCATAAAATCTCTGAGGCAAGCGCCAAACACTTGCAGTGAACGACTTTGGCCATGTGTGATCGCGTGCGATCATTGCTGATATGAGGTTTGATAAATGGTTAACGAGCCCAATTTGTGGCGAATGCACAGTAAAATTATCAAATCGCTGATCTCTGAATGATCTTTTTACATCATTTGAAGTTCAATGGAAATGCGAACGGGAAAAAAGGCGATCATTCTGTGTTGGGTTGGATGAAAGTAGAAGTGAAAGTTCAGTTGGAAATTGACCAAAGATATTCTTCAGTCTCACGGACGATCATTAAATTATAATATTCATAATTGTAAGTTTGTTGCAATGGAAAGAGACGCGCTTAAGCCACACATATCACATTAGTGACAAATTAATCTCCTTGGCATTGATCAATTTCACTGACAATTTTCTACTTTTTTTTCTCCTCAGCTCTTGCCGCACAACTTCCCGATAAGCGATCTTGGGGACTTACTTGGCGTGATCACCAGGATATGGACTACAAGAAACAGTGATAATGGAGATGAGGAACACCAGGCACAGAAACACCTACAAGACAGATCACAGATTAGCCGAGAATCACAATTGCATCACGAACAATTCACTTACAACACCGACAGATGCCATTGTCGTGTGGCGGATAAATCCAGAGCAAGAAAAAAAAAACGGTCTTCTTTCACTTGAGGAAGCGCATTCACACCTCGAGAGTGTGTTTTCACTTTGGCGAGCGCGGATGGCGTGTGAAGTGGTTCAGACGCGAGCACGACTTAAATATGATCAACAAGTTTGCGATGCCTGGCAATCGTGTGTGCACCACCACATGGCCTCCCCGGAGACCATCATCGTCTTTGGCTCTTCGTTCTGCTCCGGCGCACGAGTAGGAGAAGCCCAGTGTGACTCACGTGAAAAGTGAAGAGAGTTTTCCTCAAATGCGGAAGATCGCCATCACCAGCAGCAGCACAACACCCGTGGAGATTCAGTGATTAATCACAAGATCGCCTAATTAAAGGGGGTCGATTCTGATCACACATTAATCATCCCTCACCGTGAAACTCCGCGACCCGGGCGCATATTCGCGGGACAAATCGAGTGGAAAATAATCACACACACACACACACAGTGCAAAGTAATTCGCTAAACTTCCAACACTTTCTCCCATTCTATTGATTTCTGAAGGTATTTTTCTCACAGAAAATCTATACAAAAAATGATTAATTAAACACCGCCTTTTGTTGGCTCGATTCTCCGCAAAAATTCAAATTAGACATGGAGATGAGCGCTCAAGTATGGAAATTTGCGAAGATGTCGCTTGAAAGCGCAGCTTAATGATCGCGCGGGGTATTCATCCTCTGGACGAAGAAAGATTATGGTGGAAGTGTTTGTGGGTCTTTTGAATGGACACAATTCATCGTTCATGGTTCATTTGGGAAATTGCAGACTGTAAATTTGTCAAGGATTCGCATTTTGGGATTAAGTTTGAAGGAAAAGAATGCACGCGAAGCGTAAGAAGAAGTGATTCTTCAGCTTCTCGCGTGTGTTTTCGTGCATTTGCCCGAAACGACATGTATCAAAATTGAAAGAGTTTAATGACTCTGAGGACAGGTTGGCAGATTATGCGTCTCAAATGTACGACGCATATTTCTTCAAATCGCATTCTTCCGCAATTCAGCGGCACAGCGCTGAGTAATTGAAGTGTAGGACAGCCCGGAAAAAAGCACTCTCGACAGCATAATCATTTCGCGGGAATAAAAATGCTCATTATTCTCTTATTTTTTTCGCCACAATACAAAAGACATTCTTCTCCACGATGGAGGATCAACTGAATGGCAAGAGAAAAAAAGGTGATCCTCCGTTGGAGGCAAATCCGCAAAACTCTTAACTGTTACCTGTCTACTTTTTGCCGTGTCTGAGCATCTCTCGCGCGATCTCTTTTTGGTCGTCCATCAATGGGCCGTGACCATCGGTGAGCAGGGCAGATGAATGTTGGCCACAAAAACATCGCCCAGAACATTCTTCTTCTTACGGGCAAAACTCCGGCGTTGGTGACTTTTTGTGAATCTTTTTCTCTCTCTCTCACAAATTAATATGTTGCTGAAGCTTTTTTGCGCGCACTCCGTTTCATTAAAATTGGTTAACCGGTTCTCCATTCTCTCACTGGTGGGCAAAGAACAATCTTGGGAAAAAGACAGAGAGAAAAGGTTCTAGATCTGAGAGTGCTCTAGAAAAATTACACCAAATTGCAAATCATTTTCGAAGTCTCGACGCTTCTTTGGCAGTGAATTTTATCATCATCCAATTAGAGAGAAGATGAAGGCAGCAATAATGGAAACTAACAAAATGTGGAAATTACCATCAATGAAATTGAAAGCTCTTGAATTGGTGTAATATTCATATACGAATAGAGTCATGGTGGAGCGAATCTGAGATGATCTCATTGCATAAAAGAAAGCAAAGCTATAGTTGAAAAGTTTGTAAGCTGACAGACGCATAATTGCAAACATAATTGAGGAAAAACTGTCTGGAAAATTCCGGAAACACGTGTGTTTTACAATAGATTCTATTGAAATCAATAAAACATGCAGCAAAAGCTTCTACTTGTGTGGGAAATTAGTCAAATTCAGCCTCTGACAAAACGACAAATTGATCTCCAAATAGCTTAAGAAACGAGCACACTTGCGATTCTTTCCACCGCACGAAGCAGAGCAAATTTAAGCATGTGCTAAGCTAACTGCTGACTTAATACCCCATTAAAGGCACTAACAATTTTCTTCATTGCAACTTGAAAGTCGCTTGGGTGAAAACAAATAAAATGGTAATTCACGCAGAGAAGAGGTGTGAAAAGTATATGAATTAGCAATGTGAGCGAGTTTACACGGAAAAAAAATTGTACTATCACCTTTTATTAATGCCACGTGCGAAAGGGCATGTTTTGAATCTCGAAGCTATGATTTCTCAGCTCTGCCAGAGAAGTCAGGGTGAGCGCGCGAGATTCACGTTCTGCAGATGAGAGAGCGACAGACAGAATCCTCAACACAGAGCCACCAGTCCAGCATAAAGAGGCACATCCAGAAGACGATAGCAGTTGATGGGTTCATCACATTCGCGCTTAGTTCCAAGTGACTTTCTGTGTCGTCCAAGTGCTGCCGAGATCTCTCAAGTCTTGCTCCCATCATGCCACTTAAGGAGTTCCTCATCATTGTGATTCTCATCCAATTTGTCAGCGTTACTCACCAACTCGGTTTGTCTTTCTCTCCACACGCTTTTCCCATCCATTTTCTGACACTTTTCCCGTGTTTGTGTTTTTCTGTGTGTCTCTTTTCTGATGCAGGAAAAGCGGAAGTGGAGAATCGTCTGAAGCCCTCGAGATTGAGCCAAGTCATCCTCCTCGAGTCCCCACCGAGATTTTACGTAATGCATTATTTGTGAGACAAAGTGCGCCTTTGAACAGTTAATCACGCTTTCCTCTGCAGGATATCGCGTCAGACTGCGTGGCGAGCGCGAATCTTCATGTGTCCAACTCCAAGTGCCGCTGCTCGGAGTACATTTGCCTGATCAACTACAAGTTCAACAAATTGAGGTGAGTGATGATGCTGGACGTGCTAATCACACGCACTGCTCAGCCCAGACAGGAAAATTGACGGTGAAAATGCGCCTCTTTTCCTTCTCCACCCAGATCTCTCCAGACCTGCCATGAGGCGTGCTGCAAGCGACAACGCAAGGTGCTGAAAAGTGGCGTTGTGGAAAAAAATTAATCAACGCGCGCGCGCGCGAGTTCTGTAATTACCCAAACCCAATATCATTTCCCGCTTTTTTCCTCGCGCCCTCCGCACATTCAATAATCATCAGTATTATATAAAAAAAAGAGTGATCACTCTGGCGATTTTTCTCTTTTTGCCATGCCCAGGAAGAGACGCGCTGCTGTTTCTCTTTCTGTGTTGATGGCTTATGAGTGGCTTTTTTTTCTCCACCACGCGAGATGACAATTGTTGATGGACAAAGAGGTGTTTTTCTCTGCATATTTTATGCAACACAATGACTTTGACCCGCTGGATTCGACACATCTATTGATTAATTGCAACACACACGACTCTTCTGTTCCTCTCTTCCTCGTCTCGACACATGCTTCGTGACTTGCTCATTGAAATTCACACGCTGAATTTGCGCCTTTGTGCATCATCTGCAGAAAGAGATTAACGTGGCAATGAAGCTGATACCTTATGGACCTCTTAGCCAGACAGAGTCTCGGCCAGTTTAGAGGTGAAAAGAGGAGAATCGTGAAAGGTTTCTAGAACAGCTGCCGTTGGAAAAAGTGCCACATTGCAAACAATAAAAAAGTTTGTTTTACTACAAATGTGAAATTTGATTTATTTTTCCCTTAAATTGCGTAGAAATGCCATATTTGTACTCACATCAATTTCAGTAATTCACTTCGTTTTTCCCGTACGCATTATATTTCCAATAGTGGCCTTTGTTAGAGTCTTAATCTTTACAATGTCGCCAACAATGGAGTTGATTCGATGCTATCTGCAAAAGCAAGGGGCAAAAGACAAGGCGATTTTTGAGGAAATTTAAAGGTCTCAATGAAATATTTGAATAAAATAATCAAAAAATGAATGTTTTCCTAAGTAAAATTGCAAAATAATCAAATATTGAATAAAATAGTCAAAAAATGATTGAAATTTGTATGAAATAATAAAAATTTTTATAAAAGTCACAAAATAGTCAAGAAATGATTGAATATTCACAAAGTTAAGCAGTTAAGTTTCTTGTGATCAGTAAACGCCAGTCAAAAGCAAGATGCTAAACTTTCAAAAGCGAGCGAGATGATTTTAGTGGCAAAAAGCATCTCGCAAGTTTAAAGCCAAGTTTACGATAAATCTCTGCCCAATAGATGTTGCCATCATTTGATATGAAATTGCTCATTGCGTAAAACTCTTGCTTTCGTGTGCGATGTGGAATCAATTTTCCCCGCATTATCTTCAATTGCTTTGTGCCATTGCGTTGTATAATCAGTGCCTGTTAAGCTCCTCTTCATTATCTTCTCTCCTCACAAGTGGCCGCGACAGGAGAGTGTGTGTGCCCAAGGCAGAAAGCGTCCACCCCGCGAGACCAATTCAATCGTCAATTTGGCCCTGCCATCGAGGCGGCAGGCAAAGGAGGAAGACGCGAGGAGACCGCGAAACCCATTCAATGTGATTATCAGCCAATTTGAGTGGAAGAAAGTTTTTTACCGCATTACCCTGAAGCGCTCTTGTCTGCTTGGAGGTCATTGAAACTGATTCAAGATACAAGGTTTTGTTTACACCGCAGAGCGCCGCATCTTTCTCTCCCCAATGCGTGCATGATATTCAATTGTCCGCATCTTGAGCACCGGAAAAATTGCAAACAATCGGAATTGCTGGGCTGCAGCGGTGAAAGTGTTTTCCTCCAGCTGAGACAATGCACCAAGAGTGCGGAGAGAGAGAGATCAGGCTCTGGCTGGGAACTTCTGGCACATTCCGCGGCCGATCGCGGGCCTGTTACGTCAAATGGAGCACGCTGCAGGTGACAGTGGATCACAAGAACTCGTTCCTCGCTTTGTGGGTTAATTTGCCAATGAAATAATTCACATGCGTCTGTGTCGCAAT